TGTGACCTGTTAACTGTTTATATACTGGTGATGTGTTTCTCATGGGTTCTAGAATGCTTGATAAGACTCTCATGTTGCAATTGGTCTACAGAAATCTCTAGCCAGTAGTTGTCAACATTTTAAGCATAACAAAATGTGACCTGATTTCAATGAAAATTATTCACTTATGTAAAAGTACATATAAAGTTTTGTGAAAAATCTGTACGTGATGGAGAAAAATGGACATCATTTTGGATTCAGCATACAAGAATTACTGTAGAACATATAAAAATTCCAAGACAATTAAACCATTGTAGGCCTGTGTAATCAAATACAAGTTACACATACAGACATGTATCTTCACTATCTTCACAAAATGACAATTATGCTATACTATAGTGAAAAATTGACTCATTCCTCAGCACATGCATACTGTTTGTTGTGGTCTATACATCACCATATTTTGTTCCTCTTACTGTACAGCAAGAATAAAAGTGTAAGCCTAATGTTAAGAATGTTTTCACAACTTTTTTCTTCCAATAAGATATGGGATGAACATATCTTTTAGGCTTGGATCAAACTCAATAAATTGAGTAATTTAATGCAAAATTTCTCAAGGGTTTTACAGAACATTATCATCTTGGAACAATCCAACTTGATAAAAATAATATTCTGTCTTAATCTTTCTGGATTGGGGGGCTGATATCCTTTGATTTCTTCCTTCTTACAATGGAAATATTTAAACAAATTGCATGAATCTTAGCAAAAATATTGAAAATAAGATTTAATTCTGAATATATAAATATGTAAAATCTCTTGGCAAGTTATCCAGTCTGCATATACAAAGAAATCAAAACAACCATTAAACAGTCCAACATGTGGAAAACTTTGCTCTTTTCTGTCATGCCTAGGAAAAAGGCCACAGAGTTCCAAGAGGACAGTTCAAGTCATTTTGATCAAGAACAGTTTTTCATCTCGTATCAACTAAACTTTGCACTTTGCATTAAAAAACAACTATTCTTATCCTAGGAAAAAAGAATAACAAAGACAGAAAATGTTATTAATAGAAAACTAAATAATTAGATACTTTAATTTATAAGTTAGTAATTGAGTCATGCCAGGATTACAAAATATTAGGAAGGACAACCAATGTTAATCACAATGTCTGGTGCTTAACTTACATGTTTTTACTGCCATTTGGTTCCAAATGAATGTATATTTATTTCTGTCTGCAATTAACTTTAGAACAAGTAATTCTAATTTTTCATGGATGTTGTTTTAGCTCAAGTGAAATATTTTCTGTCTTAGAAAAACTTTTTCTTAACTTACATTTTTCTTTTCTATCAAATGGTATCTAAACATAACTGGTAAAAAAATGATATAAACAACTTTTATGCAAATAGTTATTTTCTGTACTACTCTGCAATAGTACTAAACAATAAATCTAGGAAACCAAATTTACCAAAGACATACATATTTCTTTAAAAATCTGATAACTGTACATGTATATATGTAACCATCACTATGTGTAACTGCTAATTTCTTATCAATATTATGTTTGAAATCCAGAAAATTGCTCTGTTCCAGTTAGAAATTTTTTCTTGTCAGATGAAAAAAAAATAAGATACGTATAAATATATACATATCTTTTTTTCTTAACATTTTACAAATGTTTCTGCTTCTTCAGTTTTAATTACAATCTGTTGAAAGATTTAGTTATAAAGTATAAAAGTTGTTACCTTTTATCATATATTTTAATATCTTAAATGTATTAAACCAATTGTTCAAGAACATTTGACTTATTTTTTCAAGCAGGTGCATTTAAATTAATATTAATGTAATTTGATAACATTTTAGCAGCAAACTTCAAGTTTACTTCAAAATATTTTAAAGTTTAAGTTACTTCTTTAGTCACAATGGCATGTGAAAATGTTTTCTTACAAAAAAATTTCATATTGATTTTAACAATTAAAACTCACTTCGAAGTTTTTACTTTCCTAATTTTTCTATATTTTACTACCTAAGATTAGTTTATGAAGTTATGAAATCAGTTTATTTCACATACAAGTTTAAATTGTTCTCTATCTATACAGTAATGTTCAATAAAATTTTTTTTTAAGTTTCAGGATACTCAAATTCTACCAACTTTATTTTACTACTAAAAAGTTCCTTCATCAAATTTATTGAAAAATACTTAATAGACTAACAGCTTATATCATATATTTAATATTGGACGATTTCTCTAAATAATCATATTTCCAAATTATACAAAATAATCTTTCAGATAGCAAAGCAACTACAGAATGAGGTAAACCTATATGTGTGATTATTTCAATAAAATATTAGTATCTTGATATACAAAATTCAAGTAAGTTCATTTCAAGGCAAAAACAGAAAGACATTTAGGTAAGGGTCCAACCATCTCCTCCGCAAACTTAGCTGTTAGCCTGGAGCTAATTCAATACTAGAACTCATCCAGCTGCTAAAGAACAAATAAGGCATGCTAAACCAGCACACTTAAGCATTCTTCAAATCAAATCTAATGGTATGGTGAAACAATTAATAATGTCTTACATACTAGGCAATTGGTGGAAGTTTCTAATTAATTAGATTAAACTAATTGGTTATTTTTATGAAATGCTAAAAAACATTATCATAATAATGTTAGAAATTGGGTTTTAATACTAGCAGTGGGTAGTTCACAGGCAGCCCATCGTATAGCTTTGTGAACACAAACAAACATAATGGGAATATTTCAATTACTTGTATAGTTGGAATAATCAAAAACAGTGATAATAAGAAATATTAATTTCAATTATTCGATTGTTGGAATATTAAAAATAGTAATAATCAGAAACATAACTTGATTACTTTCATGGCATTAATCAATTCAACTCTTTCAGCATGAGATCTGTCCCTGGGACCGAACTCAACCATTTTGTGCTTGTTATAGTTTTCATGCTATAACTTTTAAATTAGTAAGCCTATGTCCACGAAATTTGGCAGATTATCAGTAAATATTACAATGCTTTCATATGCAAAATACCATTTTTTTATTAAGTATTAAGGTACACAAAGCAATGTTTCCCTCATATCTATTTTTTCTTTTCGCATGTTGCTTATCTATCATGCAAATTAATTTTCATTTTAAGATTAAAAAAAAAATCACATGCAAAATCTTTTTAATGTCCAGATAGTTATCAAACGTTTCTTAAAAAAACTTTATATTTTATCTGTTATTTCCAGTAATGAATTTCTGTATAGGTTCGGTAGATTTGACCGATCTCGTAACCGCCATAAAAATTAAGAAATAAATATAAATTACGCCTCTTTCATTCTAGAATGAACACAAGTTATAACACGAAAACATAAATGTTTAGACTAGATAGCTTAAATCTCACAACATTATATATATATATATATAATTCCTTTTATTATATTGACCATTCAGCCATGCCTGGCTAACAATACATGCACTTGTGTTACCGTATCCAATAATATAAAACTGACCTTTGGTTTTTACAAAGTAACCTGTCTTGGCTGTGTTTTAGTAGACTAGTACTTTGTAAAATACAGTCACATTTCAATTATCATACATTATATACGTATATAGATTATTGCTATTTAGAAATAAGTTCTTCAACTTATTTTTCTTAAAACATAGAACAGTAAATAAAGAAATAAAGCAAACAATTATCTCTTCCAGTTATGACCTTTGTACTCGGTTCCTGCTTGACGTAGGTTGCTAAGCCTTTTAAATTTTTGCACGCGGAGGATACAAAAAAAAGATAATTTTTTTTAGATTCTATATATATAAAGTTAAATAACCAAAAATCATCAATCAATATATCAATACCATAGAATTCCAATATAATTTATCAAGCTTAGTAACTAAGCTGTATTTCAGTCTAAACAATTATATGAAGTTTCGAGCAGACTAAACACACAACCTACCTCCTTGAAATCCTGGTTCGAAAGAATGAGATGGCATCATAACAATTTAAAATGGCTAAGAACAACCAATCATGACACAATAATCACATTATAACCAATACAGCAAAATACATACAATAAAACTTCTACGATAGTTAACAGACTTGAGAAAAAATGCATTCGTTAAAACATATTCTTGCATTGTTTAACCCTATGCTAACTGGTTACATTATTAAATTCCTTTATACACATACTACTGTATTACATTAAAAATTTAATTAAACTACTTTACTATTAATGTATTTTGATGAAAGAATTATTATCAAGTACATTATAATTCAAAGTTTTATATTATCAAAGTTTTTATTCTTTTACTTCAGAAGAAACCTCTAAAACAATAATTAAAACTCCAGTTTTTGTTCTCATGTAACAAGTTAGCAGTTAGAAATCTCAACTTTAATTGCACTGTACATTGATGGTAATAGTTAGAATTAGTAATACAGTGGAGAAAATGGAAAATAAAATATAAACATTTATCCCTAAAACTATTGATATTCATTTAGCAGGTTCTAGAGATTATGCAAGAGAATTGTGAAAACTGTAAAATAATAAATAGCATTTTTATCCTCAACATGAAAATCACCTTGCAGATGAACTATTCAGAGTCTAAGTGCAAATAATTATATTAAGTAAAGAATTTTTTAGAAATAGTAGAAAAAATCAAAATTAAATGTTTATTTTTTTGAAACTACATACTTTTAGGAAGGTTCTTGTCAAATTTCAAACAATTTCCACCACTAGTTTTATTTTTAGAATGAAATATGACAAGAATGACATTACCTACTTGCAATATAAAAAGCAAGTAGTCACAGGATTAAGGAATTTGGTTTATAATTTCAACCGATTCCACTCCCCCTTATGTAAAATAAAAGCTACGTAAAATCACAGTTACCAAACAAAAAGATGGAGATCATGTAAATAAAATTAGTTTAAAATTTCATATTAGGTTCATCTGTAAATTTTAATATTCTTAAACACTGTTTATAATCAAGGATAGCTGCTATGAACAGCAATAAAATGAATTAATGGGTGGAATTTGGTAATATTTTGTAATTTTAGTTTTAACTCTTTCACTATAAAGAAAAAATTGTAATTTAGATTTTTTTTCAAATGTTTTTTGGTGGTTAGGAGGTCAGTCAAATTGAACTACCTCGTATAGAGTTAGGTTAGAGAAAATAACAGATAAAATAAAAAACAGTATTGAAAAAAGTTCAAAATTTATTCAGGAGGTTTTAGAAATAAAAATAAAATTTGAGGTTTTTCAGATGAATAAAAGTGTTTTTAATCGTAACATGAAAATCACTTTGCACTTGGAGCAGTCAACACTAACTCCATATATTCATGTAGAAATTTTTAGCGAAAATATTTTAAAATTTCTGATTTTTTGTCTACAAATGACTCCATAATTACTGAAGATTTGCAAAATTTTGTGAAGATACACAAAACATTAGAAGTTATAGTATGGAAACTATAAAGATCAATTTGGAGCCACAAATTCGGTCAATTTAACCAAACCTGTAGCAAGAGAGGTAAAGAGTTGTGTTATAATAATCTTTAAAAATGAAACAATAAACCATGTTTTGTGAAAATCTGATTCATACATAAATTGTTTGTGACACTTGGATTTGTATAAAGCAAACATAAATAAATAAATTTATATGTTTAAAATATATTCTTAAAATCTTTGGTGTTAATACAATGTATACTCAAAGATAGTAGTAGATCATGAGACAACTAGGACATTTAATGTGATAGCTATTAAGAAAATATCAAAGCAATTGTATAACAAAAAAGTAGATAGTTATTATATCTAAAGTGCTCATGTTTAGTATGAAACTTGTGATCGAAAATTTATATGCTACTTGAATATTATGAATCTCTTACTGTTTCTGCCTCTTCTATTTGTTTCAGTCTTCCTTCTTTGTTTATTTCATCATTAATATCTTTTTCAAACTCCTGTTGACATTTAGTTAATAATAACTTACTAAATTTCACACACTGACTTGAGCCATCACCTGCAGGCACTTGCATCTAGTAAAAAAAAAAAAGAATGTTTACTCTCCACAGACATACCAAATATTTGTTACTAATTAAACTATTACATAGTATTACTGTTATACTGTTTTTACTATATTTTTGGAAATAAAAATCAGCCTATTAACCCTATTGCCATGGGTATCCTTTACTGCACATGATACAAAGTTTTAGTGTCTTACATTAAAAATTTTATTAATCTACTTTTTGTTTATGTAATACCAATTAGTATAGCATAAAATCTTAGCTAATAATACATATTTTAATAGTATAGAAGTTTAAGTTCTTAAATCTATAAAGTAATATAAAAAAAATCCTAAATTCCCCTAGTGTGACATTTTCTCTACGTATATTCTCTTCTCTATTTTATCCACTACCCGTTCAAAATGTATCAACTTCTCCCTTTCAGTATGAATTGCAAAAAATTGCCATATGTAGCACAAAAGACTTTTACTTACTTACCAATAAAATCATTAATTTTTATATGTTTTGTCTTTATAAACATGTTTATAAACATATTACTATTATAATGTGTCCTCTTTTAAAAATATATGAATATATAAATTTATTGAAGTAAACTTACGTAATTAGAAGAATCCTATTTATTATGCCATATTTCAAAGTGTTCTGTACTGCATATGCATGGTTTTTCAGAGCATCTGTTGCAACACTTTCTTGTTTCCTTCCATTTTAGATAACACACACTGCATCACGTTTTTGAATGCATATTTAAACTACCAGTCAACGGTGGAATTGGAACTAAAGCATGGACAGCTTTTTCAAACTTTCACTTGTAACCTGTACGAGGATTGTTGGTAATGAATTTTTCCTTGAGTAGCAATTCCTTCTGAATTATGCATTTCCACCAGTTGCTGTATGACCTTTATGATATACTGCTTGAAAGTAAATTTTTCATTTATGCTACTTTTGTAAACAGGAAAACTATTTAGCAGCATATGCATCAGCAAGTGTAGGCCTACCTTCTTGAACCATGCATAGGATTTACAACTTGGGTCAAAAGGCTCCAGCAACTGATCTGCTTTATCTGCTTTTTGTATTCATTATACTTTTCTATGTGGTATGGTTTTTTTGTAAAATTTTCTGGTCCCCCCAAAGTAAGTTACATCTTTTTCAACAAAACCAGTTGAATATTTCGTGGTTATCATATACTGCTCTTCGGTCTTCCCCTTTCACTATCAGAGCATTGTCTTTACGAACAAAAGCCACGTAATAACACTCCAGATGCTGATTAGCAAGCTCTTTTGGGACTCCTCTACTTGTGCGAATTGTTGCCGTCATCGTCATATTTTGAGTCTCCAAAAAGTGTGCCAATCAAGTACTTGCATACCAGTTGTCCATGATTACATGATGCCCCTGTCCAAGAACAGATTTTAATAAATGGACAACTATTTTTTCACTAGATGCAAGTTTATTTACACCTTCATCAGGCAAAGAATATTGGGTGTTGGGGTCTTTCCCATAGTACACCCTAAAGTTATGGTTGTATCCACACCAATTCTTTTCACTGTTGCACATGACAAATAATTTGATGCCAAATCTTGTGCCTTTAGTTTTTATGAATTGGTGAAAGCTTAGCCATCCTTTCCATAAAACTAATGCCTAATCAATTGAAATATGATCTCCTGTATCCACATTTTTCATCGAAATTTTTCTCAAAAGCTCACAAAAAGCATCCAAGCATGTAGAAGGTACATTTTTTTTACATCAATTACTTTGGTAAAGTTTAAAATTTCATAACTGACATGTACCTGTCTCTACTCATTATGGCAGCACAAAAAAAATGAATGCCTGGTTCATATCGCTATATTTACATATTCCAGTATAAAAATAAATAACAAGAAACATAAATATATCAGTTTTAGTGACGTCTTTCCCCCGGATACTATTTACAATTCAAGTAGCTTGTGGATTAAAGTAAAAAAAATCCTTTGCTTTATCATTTATACAAAAAGCAATACAGTTTATAATTTCACTCATAATAAACCTTTTCACACACTAAAACACTCATGTTATCTGAAAAGCCATATGTGAGGTTGATCCCACTAAAATTATGCACTAATGGCAGCTCCAGTTGGAGCTAAGCATCATAAAACACATTAGGAACACGTTTCCATACTCCAGCCATTTCATTCAGTTGAGGCAAGTCTTGAAATTAAAAATTGTCACTGCAATGTAAATAATCATTGCTATCAAACTCCATATCACTTTCATCTGGTACATATTCATTACCACTGTCACTCATACCTTCATCACTTGACATTTTTATATTATTTTACTAAAACAATGTAGGGAAAATGAGACGTATTTATAGCTAGTTACCATTCAGTCAACACCCGCATGCAACTGACACCACCCCATTATTACTTCAATTAATTACGGATCACTTATTTTGTGAAAGTTTCCGATTGGTCAATAAAAATGACGTCATTTAGATTAAAAAGCACAAAAACATTCAATAATGCTGTAATAAGCATAATGGAAAATTTTCCTTCTTAAACACAAACTTAGCATGATGACTCCAACTGTGGCATCATTGCATGAATAATCAAGACTTCCCATGATGTCAACATTGGAGTCATCGTATGGAAGGGGTTAAATGTCATTGCTCAGACAAATCATCATTTTTATAGCCTTCAATTCTGTTTGGTTACAGAGCTATCAAATAGAAAATCAGACCGACCTACCACACCCATCTGTCACATCCTCTTATTCGGGATTTGTTAATAGTTCTCTCTTACATTAAATTATATATTACCTATAACCAATAGAAAGTCATGGTTTTCATCTATCAAATGACGTATTGTATAACGTTGTATTCTGAACAGAATATTGTTAATTTCACTCAGAGTACAAAATTCGTGCTCATAAGAATGTTAACAACTAGCCTGGATGAATTTGTAATGGCTCTTGTTGCATAGTCAGAAAAATTTTGAGATTTAGGGAAAAGTATCTACTTTTTGCATGTTATTAGTCTATGTTCTTTGGTGCATTATCTAATTAAATTAAAATAATTTAGTACATTACTACCATTACTCTAAAAAAAGTAGGGTTAACTATCATCGACAATCAACAGCAAGAAAAAAGAAGATTGGATAAGTACTTTATTTCTTGTTTGTCATGTTTATTCTTTAATTATTATTATAAAAGTAATTAAAATGTAAAAATAGGAAGGTGCACATTCCCTCAGTGATTTACAACTCACAATGGTGCGAACAGTAGTTAGACACAGTTCAAAGGGCAATCAAAGGGGCAATAAAACAATAAAGATCAATTATAAATAGATGTATACTGTTATGAGCTTAAAGCTATTTAGGATAAACAAATGTAGTATCATGTTACCAATTTCAACTCATTCCCAAAAGAAAAAAAATGGTAATTTAAATCTATTTGTTTGGTGGTTACAAGGTCCGTCAAATTGACTGATCCCATATAGAGATAAGGTAGAGAAAATAACATAACATATAAAGTTTTACTGAAAAAAAAAACGTTTGAAATGTATCTAGGAGGTTTTAGAGATTGCACAAAGGAAATTTGAGATTTTTGAGATGAAGAAAGGTATTTTTAATCTTAATCTTACTTTGCACACAGACTATTTAAAACAAATACTCAATATATTCATGGATAAATCATTATTTTAGTTTATTAGAAATACGTCACTAAAAATACGATTTTTTGTATGTGAAAGACATAATGTTAACTGAAAGACTGACAAATTTTGTGACACTATATTGAAAGTCAGAAGTATTAAATCGATAAAGATTTTAAATGAGTACAAAGAAATCATGTGATCAGTCAAAGTGTTGAGAGAGTTAAACACAAAACCACTGTTTTCACAAACAGTTGGAAATTTTGAAAATTATTAGCACTGTCTTATCCTTTATGGTTCATGCAAGTCTTTAAAGGTATTGAAAGCAACATGTTTACTGATAAAGGTTGTCATTAAATTGAAGTATCAGAACTACTTATTAGATGTAAATTGAAATTTCATGCTAAAATAGTAGTAAAAACACATATAGCAACATTATTGAAGGCATAAAGTTATTAAAATTCACTGCTTTTGTAAGTATGAGGAGGGTAACATTTTAAATATCAATGTAACTGTGTATATATGGAACATTTTCCTAAAGATGCTGGCTGCAACCAGCTAAAACATTTAGATTTTATTGATTTTAATACTGTTATCTTTTTAACAACATTTCCATATTTCTTTTTATTGTAAAACTACATATTATCTTGGAGCATTTTTATTTTGTTAATGCAAAAAACAACATTGCGACAATAAATCATCAGCTTATTGTAATTTTCTAAGTTTCAGTTTCTCTCAGAAAAAAAGTGAAGTCAATATGAAAACTTACTGAATTTTTTACAATAATACTTTTTTATTTATCACTTCACTTGAATACTTAAAAGTTAGATCACTAAATTAGAAACATAATTTAATCATGGGTATATGCCAGAAGCAGAATTACCAGCAATTAATTTCAATTACTTAAAATAAGTTTGCTAATTTCACTATTCAAATAAAACAAGAAATATGTTACACTTTAATGCAACTTTTCCTTGGCAGAACTGATAAGCTTATACAGCTAGAAATAGTTTGGGAAGTAATAAGAACTACAAATAATTTTGTCCTATAATTAAATTTCAGATTGCTTAAAGAAAAATTAATATGTCTTGAGTTTTTAATTTAAATTAACAATAATTATAAAGTTACAATATTCTGGTGCTTAGAATAAAAAAATGTTTAGTATCTTTACTTTAACAAAGTTTACAGTGTAGGTCAATTTTAAGATAATGTTGAAATAAGCTATTGAACTGGTAAGTACCAAATTAAACCATCAAGTCTGTTTTTATATCATTTGTAATTAAATTTTTGAAATTAGGAAAGAAAAGTCATACTGTTCATAAGGGTATTTTTGTCAATAACTCAATAACAAGTTTTTTGCAAGGAAATGCTGAGCCTGTAAACACACACAAAAAGCAGTTGAATAGCACTTCACTCAAAGGGAAAGGATTAATATGAAATGTGTACATATTACACACATACACTTTAGAACTTTTATCATTAAGTTTAAAGATGATAAATGTATACCTGAAATTCAAAGATATGTCTTATATTTTCCATACAGTTATCTTAGAAATATTATACTTTATTAAAGTACATACTAAACTCTAAAACTATTGTTGAAAACCTTACTTTTGTTTTTTACTAATTTTGTTAATAAGTTGTGAATATAGTAAAGTTTAACATTGGCACATTATGAATGCAGAACCACAAATTCAAAATAGTTAACAGGTTTTAAGAAATAGAGGAATAATATTTATTATCTTGCACAATAATTAAACAAGAATTAACTAATTCACCATTAACATAATTAAAACAAACGAGAGAGTGATACGTTAAAATTATTTCATAGACTTAGTTTAGTTTGTTTATCTTTTTGTTAAACATAAAGCTATACGATCATCTATCTATGCTCTGCCCACTGTAAGTATCATGCCAAAATGTTAGTATTATAAGACCTCTAGCTTACCATGAACATCCAGGAGGACTTCCAAGCTTAGAATATCACATTAACTAATATACATTAACATTAAAAAAACAGATAATAATGGTTTCATACAAGTTATATAAAAAAGATATTTTTCTTTTAAGACCCCAGGTCACAAAAAACCAACCCAAATTTAGGAAAAAAACATCAGAGCCAAAAAACGGATTGGAGGCACCAGACTACATAACCATAATCCAATAATACAATCTAAAAAAGCTTCTTCTTCTGATTGAAGAAATATACTCATAAGTGAAATCTGTAAAATGCCTTGCCAGGAACATAAACATAGAACGAAACGAGACTGCTTCGCCTGTGGCGTTTGTAGCTGCTTACCTTTGGATTCATGCTCGAATAAACCAAATCATATTAGTTGGAAGCAAAGAAATGATACCAAAAGTGGAGCAAAAAGAGTAACGAGAAGGACTGACCTCAATTCGATCGACCTCGTAACCACCAAAAAAACAAAATAAATCTAAATTAACCTTTTTTCTTTCTAGAATGACTTCAAATTGTAACATGAAACTACATTCATTTTAATTATATTATTATTATTACTTATTTTACCTAATCTAGTCTTAAATAACTTAAAAAGATACTTTGAAATACTTTTAGAATAATAAATAAAGAATACATATGAAAAATAAGAAATAATGTACTTACCCAATCTTCTTTTTTCTTGCCCTCGATTGTTGGGGAGAGTTAAGCCAGATTTTTTATAGTAATTCTAATAATGCACTTAATAATTTTTATTTAATTAAATAAAGCACCAAAGAATATAGACTAATAACATGCTAAAAGTAGAAAAATTCCCTAACCCCTCAAAATTTTTCTGGCTTTCTAACTATGCGACAAGAGTCATTACAAATTCATCCAAGCTAGTTGTTAACTTTCCACAGGAACGATGTTACTACTCTGAATGAAATTGACTATCTATTGGCTATCAACGAATTCCAAAAGAGAGGATGTGACAGGTGGGTGTGGCAGGAGGGGTCTGATTTTCTATTTGATAGCTCTATAGCCAAACAAAATTGAAGGCTATAAAAATTATGGTTTGTTTGAGCAATAACGATTTTATTGAGAGTATTTTACGTTTCCCTTTGTACATTTTCAAAGGGGTGATGGATAAAATAGGGATGATGACATGTTAAGACAAAATGTGTCACGTGGGTCACACTAGTGGAAATTCAGGATTTTTTATATATTTCCTTGCAGAATTAAAAACTTAAAACTTGTGTACTATTAAAATATGGATTATAAGCTAAGATTTTATGCTATTCTAATTGGTATAACATATAAAAGTAGTTTAATAAAATTTTGAATGTAAGACACTAAAACCTTGTGTCATGAGCAGTAAAGGGTACCCAGAGCATGAGGGTTAAATAGCCTACCAGACCAACAAAAACAGCTTATACCCATTCAAAAGCACTCAATGGGAAAAGTGAAGTTTTCATCCTTGAAAAAGATATTTGCTACTCTGGAGTATGGAACAGATCTGCCAAAATACAATTATGCTTTCCGTGTGGATAGCCAGAGGATTGCAACAGCAATTACATTCATTCAATGAAGCCTTCCAAGTAAAGCCTGGTCAAACAAGGAAATGTAAGGATTGACAACCACATATTTTCAGATATGCCAGTTTATGAATGTGGTGGATGGAGTATTGAAGACCTTCACAAAGTGTAAAAGAATTACTTTGATAAGCACAAACAGGTTAGGGTGCATACAATTCATGATTTGATTAAGCTGCTAACAAAAAGAGGCAAAACAAAAGCTGGTTTGTCAACCTACTATATCCGATTAAGATATGTCAGTTCAGTATTCGAGTCCATGATGGTAAGATTAAACAACATGAAGTATCCTGAAGAAATTGCAGAAAATGATATTCAAACAAGCGTCAAGAAAATCTTACAGAGATGGAAAGAAATAATGTCATTTCTGACATTTGAGTACACATACAAGCATTTGAGTTTATCGTCTGATGATCAGACCCACTGCTGTATGTTCGCACTAGATGGACGATGTGATCATGTTTACAACCACAGCTATTGTGTTAAGTGTAGCAAATGCATCAATTTTTTCTACACTTCAGTTAGGCCAATCTTGGTGTAAGCTGCCTCATTACTAGTGGATGATCTTGATACAACAAAGGAAGTAAAATCAATGTTGTCATCCATACCGATTGTACAAAAATACGACATTATGGTATATGGCCCATAGACTTAGAGCAAAAGTTCAATTTGATACGATCAACAAAGTTAAAGAAGAAATGAAGATTGATTCATCAATGATGCTTATTGTGCTTGACCATGAGCAGAAGGTGTTACTCATGAAGTACAGGGAAGGTGAAGTGGAGTACTTTGGTTGGTTCAATGAGGGTCAGTTGGGACTGTGCCAATGAGGGTGTTCCTGGATTTCAGTACAAATTCATTGATTATGTGGGGAAAACATACATAGGACAAGAAAATGTACAAGTTGCAGCTGTACTGAAAAAGATTCTACAAGATGTTTGAACAAATTGTCTTAATATCCATAGAGTGATTCTTCAAAGTGACAATGCTACATACTTTGCCTCACAGGATCTGATCCCATATATATACCATCTCGATGATGGAATGCAGTCTTCCACTGATGGGCACATTTTCCATGTCAAGAAGTGGATTTATATAGAGGCTCAAACTGGTAGAGGGAGACTGGATACCCACTTTTCATATTTCACTTTGGCATTCAACTCATTTGTGGAAGACGAAAACGACATAACTACGGAAATGGACATAAACAAGGCCATAACATTTAGAGATGGGATCGTAGGCACTAACAGATGCCAATCTGTTGAATGAAAAAGTTGGTGAAAAAATTCAAAGCAAAAACTGGAAGCCAAAGCACACAAGGTTCAATGGGAGGATAATGCTGCTAAAATCATTTGCTTGTCCAATATATCCAAGGTAGAAGTTGTTGTAATGTCCAAGCTTAATGCATGCAGACCAAATGAACTGAATAATGAAATGAGGTTGTCATTTACATCCCCCAAGGCACCATTATTTACACCTTGAATGAACAAGATCAAGTCTGGATTACTGCTAAATCACTAGCTATTTGTCAAGCACAGTCTCTGGTCCAATGTAATCTTCCTGAAGTGGATATAAGCAATGTCGGAGGTGTAACTATTAAACTTTGTCTAGAAGTATTGTCAGAAGGGAGGGCATGCTATCCAGGGAATACGAAAGATGATATGCCCAGGGAGTGTGTCGAAAAGTTAACTGAGTTATACAAAATAGGAAAAAGAAACAAAAGTCAGAAAGTGTCCACCCATAAAGCTCATCAGATTCTGATGAATTCAGTCCTTCTAGGGAATTGGCCAGATAGATTTCGTGTAACAGTTTCCAAAATAAAGGCATTCTTTTCTTTAACTCCAGCTAAAATGAGAGTATTGATTGATAGTGATAGTACAATTCCCGAAGACATAGGAGATGAAGCTAAATTTTCATATTTGCATGAAAAAATTGCTGTATCTTCTGCCTCACTTATCGAATTAGATATGCAAACAGATTAGCCCTTGTGACCAGCAAAATTTAGATACAGCTGTATCTTTTTTCATACTTCATGGTAGAGTCAAGTAGTTTATTTCTACCAATCACCGCCTCCTGGGACATAATATTTCATAACTTAGCTCAATGCCTAGAGTGATCAGTTTTTTTAGACTGTGGGTCTTAATACAATGTAGCAGCTAGTCTTGTAGTGTTAACAATTTATATATATTGGTATACAAGTGAACAATAATTTTTAATGCACAAAACAATAACTATAGTACTTAAAAAGATAACAACTATGTGTTGAAGAAAATTTAGTTGTTACTTACCATGGCTAGAGTCTTACACATGTTTGCATAAGGTACACTAAAGTTAGGCTCCTCAACAGCCTTTTTGAAGACTAGATTCATAACACCCTTCAATCGTTCTTTATTATCAATAGGAAGTTCTTTCACTTGATTGACCAGAGTTTGAAACTTCTGTGGAGTCAGTCTGTTCAGGATACCTTGCACTTTTCTGTACAGTTCCTAAGATCATATCATAAACATAAATTCTATTAATGTGCAATAAAATTAATGAATTATTACTTAAAAGATCAGATTGCTTAATAAACTGGCATACAGATCTTACAAGACAAAGCAAATATACAAAAATAAGGCTTAAGCATTCATACACATAAATCTCTCAACAACAATAAGAAAATTAAATTATCAAAAGGCTATAAAGCCAGAATTGTTTTCCAAATAACTCAATATTTGCATTTGTTTTTGAATTTTAATTAATTTTTAATATCTACTATTTTCTGATATTGGATATGTATTTACATAACACACAATAACGAGAATATTAATGTTTTGCATAATGATAAGTTGTGTGGATCCAAATGGCAAACAAATGGTGTGACTTGTACGATATTACTTATTCCATTTTCTTTTTATAATTAGTTTAATTATTATAACAACACTTTTCCATTATGTTTAAAATATTTTGAAACAACAATTAAAGTTGAGAAGGTTATTTTCGGAGCTGGATGATTTAATTAATTATGTATGAAAAGTAATTACATCAACTTGTGTATTGTAAACTAACTGTTTATTTGTAATTATGATTAATTGATTAATGACACTAAAATATTAAACTAATCAAAATTAGGGTTTCCAATCATTACAGTTTTAGATTACTCCAACAATCTTGAACTAGACACCAGAGGGAAGGCAACAGGTTGGCAGCACTCACTGCCAACTCTGTGGCAACATAAGTGTAAGATAAAGTGTAAATATATATTTTTTTTTATATTGTGATAGGCTTCTAATTCATAAGTACACAACTGTATTCTTTAATGTTCTACATGCAGGTGGAAGAGTCTAGTCCAGGCCCCTATCCCATCTTTCAGAATTCACTAACTGTATTGTTTAATGTTGTATAAGTAGGCACAGATCTAGAGGGTCTTGATTCACCACTTCATTTTTTAAGAAATTAATACAAAAACAACTAAATGTTTTTACACTACCATATAGTGTTAGAGAGAAACGTTAGATGTCAGCATTTTACTTGATTGGGCTATTAATTACCATAAAAACTTTTTTGCAGTTTTCTGAAATCAATACAGCTGCAGTCTACATGCAATCCAGTTAAGACCTAAGCCAAGAACATTTATTAACAAGATTATTTCTAAGCTAAAAGAACAATATGAATGCATATTAAATGCTTTTATGTTAGGTTCCATGCTTAGATTTTTAAAGACACTCTAACAATGTGTCTAGACTGTACAAAATTATTTGAAGTTATGATTGTTTATAACACAGCTTTTATACCAGAGACTTGTTAAATAATTGGTTTTTCATTGTTTATAAGTTAGAATTATTGTGAGAAAGATGTTTTTCATAGAGTTTCTGTTTAAAATAATTGAAAATGCAATAGGCTGCATAGTACAAAATAATAGGAACGTTTCAGATAATAACCAGTATACACATTATACATATACACAAAAAAATTAATAACTGTGTAATTTTTAGAACTGGCCCTAAAACTGTAGTCTTTGTTCATTGTTGCTGGCAAAATCAGTGTACTGCATAGAAAAAAAAAGTAAATTAAAAATTGTTGTCAGCTAAATGCTGGGGTTGTATTGATATTTAGGGGACACATGTACCCCATTCTGAATCTATGTGTAGGTGGTATGACTTTCAGTGTTGTAGTCAAGACCTCAGTGTTCAATACCTTGTAATAAATTAGACAATGAAAAATAAAGCAAGAAGAATAAAAAACACGTACGTCAAACAAACTTTATTAACATCTTAACCACAAATCTTTTACACATTAACCCCATAGAAAAAAGAATGAATAAAAAATAAATAAAAAAGGTTAGCAAATAAAACAAAATAAAAACTGTTGTTGTAAATTCTTTATCAGGTATGTAGTAGTAGTAGCATCTATGTGGGGATGGCATGGATTGTTCATCAAAATGGTATTTTAAATGTCTCCTCAAAAGGTCATCAGAACTTTACAATACTATACAGCATTTTCTATCATAACAGTATCTATCTATAACTGAGTCACATGTTCTGGCAATGTCTGAAAAAGTCTGAATTTCTTTCAGCTGCTCATATATAATTATTCATATTAAATCACAATTGAGTTTAATTTATCCTATTTTTGTCTGTTAAAATTCTACTACATTGTGTGCCTGTTCTATTATGTAGGGATGAAGTAAATGCCATCCCTACTATCTTGTTTGTAATATTTTTTAAAGGGTTGATATTTGCCATCCCTACATTTACTTCCTTTTTTGAAAGTTTTTTCTTAAACTTGTTATCTCTGAAGCGGAACAGGATCACAATAGATCTATTACACATGTTGAATATCATGGATAATCGTTAACGTTTAACATAAATATGTGCACAAGATGAAGTTCATACAATCTTGTAGTAAGCCTAGGTGTAATGCAACATATAGTAGCAATTAGTTTTGAATAGTGAGTGTTACAGCCATGGATTGTCATACAGGTAATACAGCAGTTGGTGACGTAAGGAAAAATAAGGGAGGTGCTACAAACATCACTGCAAAAGTGTAGTACTAAGTGGGTTTTAGTAGTAAAACATCTTTGATGCTACACCGTGCCTCATATGAACTGCTGCATAATTGATATTTAGCACTTCATAATCCTGGGTAAGTCTAAATACTGTTAAAACTTTTAAATTTAGACTGTCTCATTTTGAGAACTATAAAACATCAAGACCCAGAGGGTCAAGTCCAAGACCTTCCAAAGGGTGGTCTCGAGACACTGATGACTGCATAAATAAGAACATTTAAAAAGAAAATTGAAAATATGCACCCGTTTACAATTGCTATAATTATTTTCATAAGTATGATAATAAATAATTATAATTAATTTGAATTTAAAAATTTGAAATTTATTATAGCTGTTTTAAATTTCATACCAATTACATTACTAGAAATAAAGATTTAAGCTTTGAAATCACTGGATTATAACACAACTGATCTAATCATTTACAGAACATATTAATGTTACTTTGATTTACTTAGATTACTTTAGGATTAAATGATCAACACTGATTAATCCAAAATAGTATATAATTATAGACTATAGTTATATAGTCACTTCTTTCATGTAAAATAGAAAATATTGAATATATAATTACAGTGTGAAGTTAAGCATTACTGTTACTTGTTAACACAATAATAGATATAATCTAAATAGATTTCACAGTTTTATTCTTACTAATTCCCTAATGGTTTTTCAATTTTGTAAGATAAAGTTATAACTATCAAAAGTTTTATTTTACAAAATAAATTTATGTTATTCTAATTTTTATGTAATTTGACTTTAAATTTAGGCTACTTGAAGAATGTCCAAAAATAATAGGCTTTTACTTTGGCTAACAAATAAAATCAATTATGATTACTTATGAAATTCAGGAAATACACAAACTCTGATGAGTTTGTTCATAATGTGTCAAATCAACCCAAATTAAAGGTTGTGAACTTGTTTTTCAGTTTTGAAGTATAAAATTTATTTCAACTCTAGAATATTTTTAATGTGTGGAAGTATTAGTACAAATGTATATCCTATATATTTTTTTAATTCAATGATGAAATTTTATAACTGAGGTAGAGTGTACCCAATGAGGGACCACAAAGGTAATCATAAATCTTGTATTGATGCTATAAATTTTAAATTAATTTTGATACATATAGAGTAAAAAAATTCACCCATAAAGACATTAAAAGCTGAATTTCATCTTCATTTTACATCTTTTAGCCTAAACATTGGCAATTTTATTCCTACACATATATCAAACCTTGTGTGTGTTCTTATAGCAAAGCCATACTGGGCTACCTGCTGTATCCAGTGAGGGGAAACAAACCCCTGATTTTAACGTTGTAAATCCAAAGATTTATCACTGTTCCACCGGAGGACCACATATACCAATATAACATCTAAAAATAGCTTGTGTAAATGGAAGAAAATATGCAAACTTTGCAATTTGGCTCATATTAAAGTGTATAAATTCTTCAAAACCAACAACTTATGGATAAAAGCTTAGAAGTTAGCTTAAAATATCACCTGGGTATTTTTCTCTTCATGAGTTTCAGGTTCTTCAGCTTTTCGAGAAGGTTTCCATGCATTTTCTGATGAATGGAGCTTGACATCCTTGCTAAAAGAAGATGTAAATATTTTTTTCCCTTTGTCTCTACTCTGTTGACTATGTCTCCTTCCTGTTATTCCTCCTTGATTCTGAAATGTTTATGTCATCATTTTAATAACAAATTTCTATGTACAGATAAGGTATTAACAATACAATGTGCTCTCACTGCAGGCTTGTTAAATTTAATGGTTATTGTGTTTGTGTGTGTCTGAATGTATAAATTATATACATAATAGCATGTAACTTGTCAAAAATGATGAGCGAGTACTACCACCCCCACCCCATAGTATACCTTAACCTCACATTTAATAGCTAACTGAATTAAATACATTTAGCAAAATCAAGCTTGACCAACAAAAAGGCAGAAAAGTACAGATGAGGCAGTAAAACGTCAGTAAATTCCTTTGTGAGCTAATCAAAATTAAGATCATTCATGATTAATTCATTGAATAATTATTGGTAAAAATCAGTTGGATTAACAACTTCTAACATATACAAAAGCCAGTGCATTTTTGTTAACACTATGTTCCAACAATGGTATTTATGTCATGTTGCATAGCAACAACAGTATAACCTAATATTGTTATTAGTCTGTGTACTGAAAGTATAAAATGAAATGTATAGACATCAAAACTGGAAAAATATTTGTTGATTTCTTAACTTAAAGTCTCAGTTGATTAAAGAGGTTTGTTTTTTTATCAAAAATGTTGGTGATATAACAGAAAATGGCTTAATTCAGAAACGATTTAAATTTAAAATTGAATCAATATTTTTGCTTTTATGATAAATTTTATGCACTTGGCTCTAGGCTAGGTGATCTCAACACTCACTACACTTAAAAGGTTTCACAGCACCCATCCTCTCCTCCCAATCCTCTTGCACACCCGTCACTAAATTCGTAATGGGTAGACAGTAATCAAACTATTCTATCTGGATAAATGCATTTTGACTTTTATGACTCCTCTTATTTTGAAAATTAATGAGAAATCAAGTATGACATGACACACACACACACTGGCTTCTATAC